CTCACTGTCTCACTGTCTCACTGTCTCACTGTCTCACTGTCTCTCTCTCTCTCTCATCTCTCTCATCTCTCTCATCTCTCTCATCTCTCTCATCTCTTTCTCATCTCTCTCATCTCTCTCTCCTTTCTCTCTCTCTCTCTCCTCTCTGTCTCTCGTGTTTCCGTCTCTCTTCTCTCTCTTCTCTCGCAGGAGGATCCGGGCAAAGAGCCACATATAAAGGACTCTTCACCCCTGCCTCCAAAAAGAGCGCCGTGTTTTTTCCTACCTCGCTGCCCTCCACTTTCCCATTCTGGAGCGCTAGCTTTCGCCCCCCCCCTTGGCCTCAAGTATACATATACATAAGTGAGAAGGGGCCAAGCGGACGATGAAGGATCATCCAAACAAAACCCTTGCAAACCTCTCGAACTTCTGTGGTTCACGTGGCCAGGCCGCAGGTCCTGGCAGACACTGGGCGGTGGCTGGCGATGCAGGTGGGCGTGTGATTTCTTTTGCGAAAGACCCTGAATTTGACTGATTGTTTCATATTCCTTGAGCATACTCGCATGTTGGCCCCATGTTGACTGGAGCTGATGGTAGTGGACATCCTGGGGTTCGTCAGCATGAGCCTTGAACGCCTACACTTTCATTTCCTTTTTCCAGCATGTCGCCGGCAGCTTTGCAAGAGCGCCAGCGTACGAACACGTACAAAGTGTCAGCCGTTTTTGCAGCGAAATTTGGAAAAACAGATCTGGATGAATTTGGTCCCTCTTGCAGGTTGGTGCCTCGCAAAGCTTTCGAGACCTGCTTGCTGCCTTGCCACATCTGGGAGCAGCGCCCAAGGAGGCCGCAGCCAGGGCGAAAATTGAGATGTTGAATCAGGGTGAGCAGTGGTTAGGTTCCATGCTTGGGTGACTGTATGATTTTGTCAGCGTGTTTGGATTGACAGACTTGGTGAATTCACTGTTGGATTGTTTCTCCGCCAGCTTCAATTGTCACTTGGCATGCTTGTGAGATCTGTGTCGACTTGTGAGAATTCCTGCAGCGGACTGCGTGGATTTCATTGGATTTCACCTTTTGTAGCTTTTGTGCAGTGCACATTGCAGCATTTGAATCAGGCCCCAACTCTCGTCTATATCACCATGATCTATGGCAAGAGCTTCAACAGGCCTCATGCCTCATGCCGCACCTCCTTTGTGAGCTCACGTCGGTGATGGTGCCTCAAATCGGTGCCGCAGGCACTTGCGGCGCTTTTGCTCACGGGCACAGGCTCTAGGAACACCAGGGGCACGCTTACTGCTTTTCACGCGCGGCTGCTCAGAGATTTCGACTGCTGAGGGGAAGAAACCGTTTTGATGGTGTGAACTGCTGGTCAAGAGTCAAATTCAAGTATCAAGGAGAATACCACTTGGCGGCTTTTCGCCAAGCACTGCAAACACATGTTGTGGTTTGCCCCTTTGCGACCTAATTATACTCCATGAGAATGCTCAGGACCATCTCAAAAACCATGGTTCCTCCGTTCCGAAGGTCAAAGGATCGACTGTAGAGGCCTGGCAGAACCTTTCAGGCTCGACCAAGAGGCCTTTGACTTGCCGGGGCCTTGAACTCGACGGCTGGTGTCAAGGGTTTGGGGCAGGATTGCAGAGCTGTAGAAGCAAACATCGTGTGCATGTCGTTTGAGAGTTTCAGTAGAGTAGAGCACCCCCCCCACTCACAAATACATGCACATAAAACAACTATAGTCATATATAGTCTCCGCCTGTCCGTTTTGCCAGAAGGATGCTCCATCCACGGCAAAACGATAAGGACGCGCGTCAAAGTACCCTGCACATGGACAACCCTTCTAGCATCTTCTAGCTGTGTTTCAAAACAGCTAGGTTGGTTTCCCCACCATATGTGTTTCCCGAGTATCTTTGTTGGTGCTGTGAATATCGAAATCGATCGTTGCACAGAAAAACATAGCTTCCCCGCATGAAAAATATCGCTTCCCTGCACAGAACACGCCCCACATGCGACACATCCACTGTGCGGTTCGTCTGGAATGAACTGTGCCGTCATGTACAACTTCGTTCCACGCACAAATGAATGCATTGCACAGGAATATGCACTACAAATGTTGCAGCGGACGTATGAAGTACGGTAAAGCGATCAGGAAGAAGCAGAGATAAGGCCAAAGGCAGTGAGGGGAAAAGACAGATAAGTAAAGACAATTTGCCTGAGACAGGTGCTGGGCCGAAAACGGCAGGCGCTGCATCAGAGGCCCCCATTGCCCAGTGTGACATGGACCATGCTATGCCATGATATACCTGACATTACCAATGGATGGAGGCATCCAATGATCCAATGCTCGTAGTCTGTCGATGCCGCCATTTCTTGGGTGAGTGTGTAGGTGATTCTTGATTCTTGGCATTCATGAAGGAACCCCCTCCATCTTGAATAAGTTCACCTTACCGCTTCTTTGCGCCCGGCTGGGCTTGGACTCGGTGCACTTCCGGCCTGGCTTGCTGTCGAGGAGCTATAGATAGAGCAAACATGGTCAGAGACTCCAATGGGCCGTTGTTCTGCATGTGGACGATGCGGATCAATACGGACAGGATTACCGCAATAAGTGAATGACATCGAACGCATGGGTTCGACCATGTTCAACATGTCTCATGTCTCCGTCGAACTCCTGGGGTCCATTGCCATCGATTGTACATGGGCCACGAGGACGCTATTGGGTGGAGGCCATCGCTACGAACGTAACAGAAGCTACTAGTGCGAACGTCATGGCTCAGCCAGGTGGATTGACTTAGACGTCTTTCTGATGGCAGACCCCACGCCGGCCATCGTGGCCCATGCGGAGCTGGGGTTCCTAAGATCGAAGCGCTTCGATCCCCGCGGTGTTTCGCGCGGTCACTCGCGGTTGGAATGAGGCAAGGACCATATGAAATCTTAATCTCTGGCTCCTTTGAGGCGCAGACAATTGCTTTGCAATGATGCGAACTCAATCAGAATGCCCCTGGAATGATATAGGTTCGGTTCGGTTACGTACCACTGATCGGACCACTGACAGGCCGACTGCATTTGCAACGGAATTGTCCGCGTCCTGGGAGCGGCTTCTTCGAGAGTTCTCCAGATGGGAAACGCCTGCGGAGCCTAGGAGCAAGAACGCTACTAGGGGCTCCTGGCATCGCTACTAGGAGCAAGAACGCTACTAGGGGCTACTAGGAGCAAGAACGCTACTAGGGGCTCCTGGCATCGCTTCTAGGAGCAAGAACGCTACTAGGGGCTCCTGGCATCGCTACTAGGAGCAAGGACGCTAC